GCCGGGATAGTTCATATTACTTGTTTATTCCTCTTGCCCGTTTGTTTGTGACTGTTGTTTGGGTGAGGAAGAGTGAAATTGCACGAAGGGTCATTCCGTGCTATTCTTGATTATAATTGCACGAAGGGTCATTCCGTGCTATGTTTTGACTATTTATGCACGAAGGTACATTCCGTGCTCTGATTTGATTATATTTGCACGAAGGGTCATTCCGTGCCATGAGATGAGAGCTACGTGAGGGAAAGCACGAAGGGTGATGCCGTGCATTTTATTTGATTGCTTTGGGTGACATTGAGAGTAAAAGCACGAAGGGTGATGCCGTGCAACTATTGGATTTCTTATTCTTTGATAATTATTGTTGTGCCATGTTTCTTAATTACGCTGATGAACTTTATATCCAAATTGTACTTTCCCCACAGCATGTTTCCCTCCCTTTTAACTGTTTAGTTTCGGTATTTTCTTTCCTTTTGTTGCATATTTGTATATAAAAATTGTACAGGTTGGTTTGGTAGTCCTGTCTAGCCTCGTCACTACTTCGCCGAGGTTAGGCCAGACACTTACCAGCACATGGGGTCGGTTGTGCTGATGCTACACTCTGTGCATTTCTTTGTGCACAGATCCAGGAGCAGCTTTTGGACAACAGCAGTAGGATTCTTATCCGGGAGCTATCTTCAGTCCAGGGACTCTCGAGGTAGCCTAGCTGGCGTTCGCAGGCCGAAGTCCCTTTCCTTATTTCAGTTTGTTTTCATTGTACCAAAATAGACATGTGTATTTCTTTCATTCAGACCTGTTGTAGTATTCTATAGTGGTCCGTGAGCTAGTGACACCAGATTTTGGGTAGGGATGTGTTTCAAAACTTCCGCATTTTTATATCTTTTGTTAAACTTAAATTCTTCCGCATTTCTTTAACTGTTGTTAGTATATTATATTGTTGAGGTTAAATAGCGAATGTTTAATGTATGGCTGGCCTAGCTCCGTTAGTAGGCGCCATCACGACGCCCGATGGTGGGAAAAATCCGGGTCGTGACAAAAACCTTTGAGAATGGGAACCTCCAGTTCTAGAAGAAGGGCCAGAACTAGAAGAAGGTGTGAGTGAACTATCACCACGAACAGATCCTAAACTACGGAGTCTACCACCACCACCTCTTCTGTGCCTAACGGGAGCATTGAGAAAGCTGTCTAAAATAGGAGTTCTTCTAGGGTTAGGGTTCGGAGAAGCCATGACAAAGAAGATTGAAGTGAAGAAGAAGTGAATAAAAGTTTTGAAAAATTAAAGTGTTCAATACGCTTTAAATGGTATAAGACAAAGATGGAAGTTATATTTATACTAGTGAATGACCGTCAGAAGGAAAGAGTATAGTGATGGGAAGTCCATAATAATGATAACTGACACTTCGTGGACAGGGAAGCCGAAAAGAAAGCCTAAGAAAGTGCTGCACAATTGTATGACCAATAAGAGGATGACACGTATCCAGCGCATTAAATGAAAGTAGTAAGTGAAGCGTCAAACTCTGTCAGAGCATTAATGGTGACAAAAATTCTCCCTTAATGAATTCCACTTCCCAAATATTCAAACTGATGAATAAATGGAAAGTGGGGGGACTATCTGTATTGGGGAAAATTATATTTATGTATATGGTGACGTGTCATGACATATAGACTGGTCAAACAGTCAAAGAAATAAGGTTGGTTAACAGATACGAGCAATAACAGATACGAGCAACAACAGATACGAGTAAATTAAATGGAGGGGGTGCGAGCAGTCATACAAGTAATTCAACGCTCGTACCTATTCAAGACATTTAAAACTCAAAGATAGTGAAGAATCAAAGGAATGAATCTAACAGCAAAAAGGAGTCCAGATACAGCATTTAATGAGTATTAATTATTGGAAACGTTAGAGAATATGTATTTAATGTATATGATTGCATAACGTAACATTTAAAGTCATTAATTGCCCATAATAGCATTATTATGACAAAGGTAAGGCTCATATCCCAAAAAGAGCTATAAAAAGGGAAGAAACAATCAATTGTAAGGGGAGGTGATTATTGGAATATACTTTGATTTACCAGCTTTCATACTTGGCTATTCTAAAATTTCTGTCTTTATTTATTTTTTCGATTATCAGTAACCCGATTCTTCTAAATTCTAGCTTTAACTAAAATCCTATTTTTTGGTTAAACAAGGGTCGATGTGTATTTTTGTTCTCCTCCCGACTTCAATGGTTGCTGATGAACCTGCATATACAGGTTCATCTTGAGCGATTTGCAAATCGAAAGATGGCCCTTCGAAATTGATTGCTTTAGTGGGTATTCTGCAGAAAACCTAACAAAGCTTTTATAGTATCGAAAGATGGCCCTTCGAAATTGAGTGCTTTAAAGGGTATTCTGCAGAATTAACAATGGTGAATATTTAAAAAAAATGTTGAAGAGAAAAAGAAGAAGCTTTAGCCGGTCAAAAACCCAAAAACTTTAGCACTTACCACAACTATTTTGGAGCAAAAAATATTGAAAATTGTGGGAGATAATGGCGCTGATAAAGGAGAGATCTAGGGAGAGAAATTTGGAGCAAAAAATATTGAAAACGGCCATGGCAGCTGCTAGGCCTCCATGTCGCCTAGAGAGAGGATAGAGGAGAGAGAGATCGTGGAGAGAGAAATATGATATTATGCGGTGATTTTGAGAGAGAATAAACTTAAAGAATGAGAGTGAAAAATATTAGACAACATATTTAATGACTTAATGGTAGAAAGTGACCATAAGTACATATTTTGCTATAAAATCTAAAAGGTAGTTATAGAAAATAATAATTTAAAAGGATTTTTATTTCTAATAAATAGGGTGTAAAGCTTTGATATAGGAGGTAAAATTTCCTAAACTATTCCTCCTATTTCGATATTCGAACGTCGGCTTTCCTAAGGGGAATTTTTGTATTATACTATAATTTTGTGAACTTCATTTTACCTTTTATAACATTAGAGTAAACTACACTATCACTATGGCATTATACGCAGTTGGTTTTACAATATGAGATTCACCCTTGTATATATGTATGATTCTAATATATAAAGGTGATAAGCATTAAGTGATATTGAAAAATTTGAGTTATCCACAATCCGATTATAGTATAAAGAATGTTTAAAATAATTTCCTCTACTAATTAAGAAATAAAGAAATCATACACTTTGATTCATTAACTAGTTATGTATAAAATGCATTTAATTTTCAGTCATAAAATTATATCCGTCGAAATCTTTCAAATACCTTATATTGGTGTACGGGCTTGTACGACTTTCCCTGACCTAACGGAAGGCCTCGTAACCGATGATTTAACTTTGTAGTAATCATCTAGACATCTCTTATTAGTAGAGATATATTCTTAAAAGAACGTAATACCTAATTTGTTATAAATAAAATAATTTGTGTATGGGTCAAAATCTGATCTCACGATAATTAACGAGGCTAATCCCGTTTTAAGTTAATTCATGATTAATTAACGGCACGAACACTCAGGATTGACAACGTTCAACCCGCCTCTAGCTCGGTCGACAAGGCCCTGGCCTACGCGCCAATACAAAGGCGAGATCTCAACGTGGTTACGGCCACTTATTGCCAGCTCACGAAGCTCACAGCTATAAATACCAAGAGAGGAAACCCCAGAAAGGGGGTTGCTTCTCGACCACTAGTGAGAGGAGAGAGAAACGAGAAAAGATACCCCTCTTATGGGAAGAGAAAACACCATTGTAAGGCTCTGAACCTCTCCATGGAGAAGCAGACCAAACAAATATTATCAATAAAGGTTTCTAATGCTTCTCCCCCTAATCGTGAGTTCTTATTTTCATGTCTTTCAATTGGTCCAACGGATGATTACGATTTGCTATGATTATCCCGGGATTTATTTATATTGTTTTGTACTCGTAAGATGTGTAATATTTTTTGAGCGAACAATTTGCACCATGACAATTGATGTTTACCCACATTTTAAATTATTTAATTAATCATAAGAACAATAAACCAAAAAAAAAAATTACCAATTGAAGCAGCAATCTTTTTCAAGGGATTTCTTTATTGGGAAACCTCCAAATATAGTCGAAGCTTAAAGAACCAAAGCTTTGAGTATATAGTTGGTGATTATGCAATCTAGCTTTGTCACAACTGCAAAGAAAACATGTACTAACTAGTGTAAGTATTGATTTCATGATATGTTAACTAAATACGTATGGTTTCCACCTTCCCACACGCCACGGGCAGCAAAAATCTTGTGTCCTTCCTTGAGAGACAGCTCCTCCCATGATTTCCCTCCTCTAACAAAACTCCCCAACCTCCCACATACTATATCCTATATAAGTTATACTATTCTAACAACAAAAATAATAATTACGCTTCAATTTCAAGTAGTTGGGGTACAATAATATATATTTATAAGTTTATCTTAATTTAATATTATATAAAATAAGTTAAAATTTAAAAATACTACTAACAATTTTATATATATTTACTTACATAAAAAAAGGAAGCTTCGTGCATTAAGCTCTCGTTATGCGCGAGATTTGGGAAAGGGCCGAACCACAAGAGTCTATCGCACGCAGCCTTACCCTGCATTTCTGCAAGAGAGTACTGTTTCCATATTTACTTACATAAATTTCTTATTTCTGTAAAATTAAAAGAGTAGTGGAAAACATTGGATCTAAAATAATAATATGGACATGACTAGTAATTAGATTAAATTCAAACTTAGTGAACATGTAGTAACACTCTCTTTGCACGTGTTCCTCACACTCAAGAAGTACAGTCCTATTCCCCCCCCCACCCCACCCCACCCCACCCCCCACCCAAATATTTCTCAGCTCTCGCCAACCTTAACGTCTCTACACCTTTGCCAACCCTTCACGAGACTTACATGTATTTCTTCATTCTTATTCTTATAAAACTCAAGTCTTTAAACACCCTTTCTCTTTTACTATACTATTAACTAAATTCTCACTCTCCATTTAGCAGATGGATGAGCCACCAAGTGATGGCACATCGGAGAACCGACGTAAGGGCCCCGGAAAGCGTGCTACCGGAGCGGTGGAGCCACTAGCCTCTGCAGCACTTCCGGCTTCCACGGCTCCTTGTGGTGCATGCAAGTTCTTGAGAAGAAAATGCATTAGTGGGTGCATTTTTGCACCCCATTATGGCTCCGACCAAGGCGCGGCTCGGTTCGCGGCCGTGCACAAAGTGTTCGGAGCCAGTAATGTGTCTAAGCTATTGTTGCATATTCCGGCTAATCGGCGGCATGATGCGGTGGTCACTATAACTTATGAAGCTCAGGCTAGACTCTCAGATCCTGTTTATGGTTGTGTCTCGACCATTCTTGCTTTGCAACAACAGGTTCACCACTTTTAGATATATTCTTTATTAGTGTGATAATTTGTCATTCTGATGGTAACATTAGTAATTAATATCTTGGTTTTTTATTTCTATTATTAATTGTAATAGAAATATAATCAGATTTTTAAGGTTAACGAATAGAGTTACAAATGATCGTTTTCAACTAAAGTAAGATGAAGAAGTGAGGTAGCGTGAGGTTTTGTGTAGATCAAGTGCAAGTTACTTTTAAATAGTTGTCCCAGCATAGTCTCCTAGATTTTAAAGAATAGAAGAAACAAAAAAGCAGAGTGGTTCGATGACTAGAATGTCCATTGTTTGTCGTTTGCAGGGTGTCAATGAATATTTAAAAACCGACCGAACCGTACCGTACCGAATCGATTTTTAGGTTTCTTTTGAAGAACCCATAGGTTTTTATATAAATCTATAACCGTATCGATAATTAGGGTAGGCCTTTTATTTTATAAAAATAAACCGAAAAAATATCGAACCGTTCCGAATAAATTTTACATGTGAAAAATATATTTATATAGTAAGTTTAAAACTAATAAAGTATTAAATTTTTCATTGGGCCTTGGAATTATGAAAACTGTTACAAGCCAATAAGTAATTAAACTCAAAATACTAATTCCTAAAACCTATCATGCTACTTATACTTAAACTAAACTATTTAAATTATCTTTATTAGCAAGACGCAAAGTATTCTAGCGATTATGAGTAGCAAACTACAATGTATTAAATATGTTTTCTTTCATACAATTTAGATTTATCTTTTTGAATATTTAATAATTGGTTTAATTCGGTAATTGTAAAATCCGAACCAACCTGGCCCATGTACACGCCTAATATAAATATACATTGAATATTTCTGCGCGCCTGCATGATTCAGAAATCTTGTGGAATATTGGGTTGCATCCTATTCCTTCATATTTGCAAAATACTCAAATCTACTATAGATCGATACCAGGAGTGCTGATATATCCCTCCCTCTCCAGCATCATAGCTATACCAGCCTTTTCTTATTTGACAAAGTAATTAAGCCAGCCTTTAATTATAAGACAAATGTGGCACACCTAAGGAATTAAATTCATACATGGGTAAAACACGGCAAAATAAAAATGAATTCCAGAAAAGCCGGACTATGAAAAGATTACTGAATTCTTAGTTAATTTATAAACTACGCTATACAATGATTTAAATAATTATATACGCTAATAATGTAAATAAAATTATACATTGTCAACAACTTTTTGTAGAAGGTTACTAATTTTCTTTAGTTTCTAAGTAATTACTAAATTAGCCTAATTAAATTATAGGTTAATTCATGTTATATAGGCCACTTTGATTTAATATTGTAAAAAGCTATACATCATCAATATAAAGATATTACACTGATCAGAAAATATGTGTGAATTAAAAAGGACTGATGAACAAGTAAAATTGCATGAATTTTGTAGGTGGCATCTTTACAAGCAGAGCTAGCAGTAGTGCAAACACAACTAATTAACAACAGATATGCTGTGGAAAATGCTTTACAAACTTCACAACAACAACATCATCATCTTCAGCAGCAACAACTTCACCAAGAACATCATCACATTGCAATTCTACAGCCAACTTACTCAAACAATTCTTCTGTTTCAAACAATCTCATCAACAACATTAACAGTGCCAACACTTTCAATTCCACTGCTTTTGATCAACTGCCTGATGATACTTGTGCTACAACTGTCCCTAATAACTCTCCAAGTTTTGATCCCATACACCAAGAGGATGAGGAGGAGGAAGAGAGTCATAATCCTATTGTTTTTACTAATCAAATGTTTCATTGAATGAGAGGTCCACTAGAGATCAGAAATTATTAAAGAAACAACAAGATCTTTCGTTTGTCCTTTCCAGGCGAACGATTCGAACAAAAAAAAAACACTCACACACACCCGCTGAAGTCTTGTTAATATTTTACCAATAACTGAGATGTTTTACCATGTCGATATAAAGTTAACTATATATACAATATATTAGTAAGGATTTTTATTGTTGAATTTAATTTTAAGCTTTCTGTTGTTTTACCGCGAAAATAATGAGGGGTGAGAAGTGAGACGCATATTTCATGCTCATCTTCAAATAAAAAAGAGTAAAATTCATGGGTACGTCATCCAGCTTTTTACCCATTACCCAAAAGTCACTGTTCTTTTTTTTGTTACATAAAAATCATTTTATTTTGCTCCACATTTCACAAAAAAAAACTTTGATAATTTTTGGTTAAAAACCCACCTAAAATGTGAGAGAAAAATAACAAAAATGAGCCTTATATTTTGGGTAAGTTTAAATGCTCCCTTAAATATTAGTTGTTTTGATTCCATAAGGACTATCAAAAGTAAGCACTTTTAGTTTTCGTTGAGTATTTAACAAACTATAGTTACTTTGATGGAAAATGAGAAAAACGGATTTATTATGGAATTACATTTATAAGTGTATTTCTTACAATTTCGGCTATTTATGGCTTATTATATGATTTGGTATAGCTTTTTTGAGGTATAGTATGCTATTTTAAAATTTATTTCTAGCATCCCGTACATTTTGGTTCTGAAACTTCTAGATTCGCCAAGTCCATCCCATCAAAATATTTAGTCTTACTTGCAATTAGGTACAAGATAACTTAATTCTGTTGTTTCATAATTAATCATGCAGTTTGAAGATCTATAATTCATATATCATGAAAGGAGTTAACTCATTTTCAAGGTGAATGTAGGTTAGTGGCATTAAATTCGATTGTGGTGATTGGTGAATTTGCGCTCATCCATTGGTTCTACTTTGGACAAATCATTAGTTTTTGTATCGTTTATAGGATCAAATACTAACTATTTAATTTAGTCCGGAAGAAGTGTGATTGTTTATATACATATTGCAATAGGAGGATACAAAGCTAAAGTGTGTGGTTGATTTCTTGTTTCCTTTTCAACTAGTTTCACACTTATAATTTATTTTTATATAGTAACTTTATGCTTAAGTTAACAAAGCACCTATGATTTTAAATTATTTGGTCAATCATTGGTTTTGACGGAACTATAATTTGATAATTCTAGTTAACTAAATTTTAGTTTTCAGTATATATTATTAGGAAAGTTTATTAAATATTCGATGAGAAAACGCTCACTTTTGACAACCTGGTGGGATCAAAATAGCTAAGGAGTATATTTATGGGCCCGAGAATTTACCCCAAATATAAGGAGCATTTTTTATCATTTTTCTCTCATATTTCATGTGAGTTTTTTTACAAAAATAATCAAAGTTATTTTTGTGAAAAGTGGAGCAAAATAACATGATTTTTATGTAACAAAACAAATAATAATGACTTTAGGGTAGTGAGTACGACCACCCATAAAGTTTACTCAATAAAAAATGGAATTTCGAAGCAACAATTAAGTTGTCTTTGTATGACTTATAAGTCTGGGGTTCGAGCCGTAAAATCAGCCACTAATGCTTGTATTCGGGTAAATTGGCGACATCATATCCTCCTGGGTGGAGCCCTTCTCCGGACATTTTCTTTTTAATCTTCAAATAAAAGATGCTTCATATCCCCCCTCCCTCCCCCCATTTTTGGATTGGGGTGGGATATTTTTATTTTTCAACGTGAATAGCACAGTGCACAATTGGTCAATATTCTTATCCTTTAAAGTTATTGAATATTTTTTTAAAGATTTTGAAAACAGAGTTCTTCTGCAAAATGGTAGACCATATTTGCTTTCTAAGCGTGAAACAAAGTAATCTATTGACTAACAATTTAAATAAAATCCTTTATCAGTTTGATATTTAAAAATACAGCTTGTTGCACTTGTATGCATTTCTATTTATCTAGATATTTAAAAATATCTAGAGTTTATTTATCCATTATTTAACTTCTGTTTACCCTAAAATCCGAGTAACAATTAAACTTGTATTGTGGTTTTAAAGATCTATGATTTAATCCAATATTAATTGATAGACAAGGAATCTAATGTATAAATTAAAGAGTAAGGTAAGTCAAATCAACGTATAAGCAGACCTCGACCTCGAACAGTGGCAACCTCAAGGTAGGTGGATAAGAACAATAAAATAATAAGGCAAATCAGATGAACAGTAAGCAAGAAAGTGAAATATGTATATTCTCTTCTCAATGATTCATGCGTTACAAATGATTGGGGTCCCCTTTATATAGTAGGGGAATCCTAAATAAGGTACACTTCTAATTGTAGTAGGGAATCTTATTATACAGCTGTCTAACCGCCTGGTACAAATCCGTTATGGAATTTACGCCGTGATCTTAGGGCCACTGCGGGAATCTCGCTCTTTATGTTATGAAACTATAACGGTATTATCTCGAGGTTGGTCATACTTGGCCTCGGTGTTCATCGATCACTTCGATCTTCGAATCTTGTACTCCGCCCTCGGGCTCGATCCTGGTCCATTTTGAACTTGTTCTCGAAGTGACCCTCGAGCCCACGGAACGTGCATACCTGATTTCGACCGTATACAGATAGTCCCTGCGTTTCTTAGAGTAAGATCATAAGAAACGATCTGATCCTCGATCCTCTGATGCCTCGATCATGATGTCAATCCCGTGACGTTAGCGACAGAAGTGATTGAAAGGTCGCGTCTGCATAGTTCCCAAGGTCATTAATTGAAGGTGGCTGATGGTCGGCCATTGGCTTCCCCAAACCTTTGAAGTGGCCACTATAAATAGGTCACTTTCACAACCTTTGCAATCTTTATTTCTCAAACCTCTCCCAAATCCTTACTAGCTTCTTCATCTTCTTTGAGTCCATCCTTTCTTCAATTTGCGCTTGTTACAACATCAACTTCTTCTCTTCTCTTGAGTTTCTTAACAACAATGGCTAAAACATCTAAAACCGTTCACCAGAAAGAAAAAGGCTCATCATCATCGCGGTCGGCCGGTGGTAGAACGACGGTGCCACCTAGTATCGAGGAGTGCATTCCTGGTCCATGCGAGCTATCTTCCGATTTCAAAATCGATAAGCCTGCATCAGTTCCAGGCTGATGCGAGCCCATGTCCACATCTGCTCAATACTGAAGACGATCTTGAGCAGATGAAAAAGGATTGCAATTGAGAGGATAAGGAGGTGGTGATTCCTTCCCCCGAGGAGGACATCACCACTCATGTGGAAGGATACTTAAGCGTGTATACTTATCCTTTCACACTGGGTCCTGTAGACCCAGTCATTCTCGATTTCTATCACCAATATCGGGTGACCCTTGGCCAGATCTACCCTTCTTTCTGGCGCATTGTCAATTTGCTTAGGTACTTTTCGAGCAAGTTCAAGGGGATGTCTTTTAGCCTCGACCACCTGATCAGGCTGTACAGCCCTCGCCTCTATCGAGGTGGTTTGATAAAGCTCCAGCGTCTATCCTCGAAGGCGCTATTCTCTAGCATCGATGAAGACAAGGACCGAGGATGGATGGGCCGGTTTGTCCGAATCAAGACCTCCGACCTAATTCCTGCCGAAAGAATGCCATTCCCCGAGGAATGGAACATGAAACGTAAGTACAACCCCATCAATGATGCTTACTACTCTGCTTTCTCCATTCTTCTTCGATCTAATTTCTTTTCGATGGTGCAGCTTCCCCTTGGTTTCCTGGTGCGATTCCGGATCTCGCAGGTTGGGTTCGACAACTGGCCTCCACTTCTTCTCATGCAGAACGATGTTGGCATGATTTGGCCAAGGGTCGGTGGGAAGCTAAAAATCATGGTGAGTTACCTTGTTCATATGTTGACATTTCTCTGTAAAATACTTACTTTCCCTTACGCAAGCCTTGGAGACACTGTTGCTATGAGGTCGCCTCCGCCCGGTGAAGAGGAAATCCCGAAGCCAACCAAAGAGAAGAAATGGAAAAGGGCTTTGCCAACAAGTTCCCCGAAGCCCAAGAAAAATAAGGCTCGACAGCCTAGGGCCGATCCTGCAGCCCTATTTGCAGATGCGGTCCAACAACTTCAGGATAAAGAGGAAGAAGGAGAGGATGCTGACGGTTTGCTGGTAGCTCGGAAGATGGGGAGCACTGAAGCTTCGAAGGCCGTCGAACTGGCGGTGGCGATTGCGGTTCAATATTGAACCGAAGAAATCTCGGAGGGAAACTCGAGCAGAGTCCCCGAGCCATCGGGTGGTAAAAGCGCAACTCGTCTTGGAGGACATCTGGCGGGTGAGCCCGAAGAGCCTGATTCCGAGGCCCTCCAAAGAGAAGAGAATGTCCCAAGTGAATCACTTGGGATAATTAACATAGATGAATCGCCGCCTGGTCATGTGTTCTCTGAAGGGCAGTTTCGAGATGCTCGGGCCATGAAGACTCCCGACGTGGTGACGACCCACGAAGGGAGTGATGTTTTTCGGGAATGCTTTGCGGGGGTCGAAGATGGTCCCGACCCGGATGATTCATTTATTTTTGACGAGGCTCAGCGTCTTCTTAAATAACTAAGTTTCTGCCTCCATAATTATGTTCATGTTCATTCTCGTTTTTCTGAGTCTGACTTCTTTTCTTTGTGTGAAGGCTGTGACGCTCCATCGACAAGCGTTCTCCAAGTCTTGAGCCGAGCTTGCCCGATGCGAGGCCAAAATCAAGAAGCTCGTGGAAGAGAGGGACGACCTCAAACTCCTCTATGTTCAAAAAGAGGAGGAGATCAGGGACCTTCGAGCCGACTTGATGAAGGCTCATCGAGAACAGACCGAGCTCATTGAGCAAGTAATGTAACTTTTTGGGAGTTTGTTATGTGTTTATCTGACTTAGCGACTAACACTTCGACTTTGCAGACCCAACAGAAGGGTGAGCTGGTGGAGCAGCTTCGAGAGAAAGCCAAGG